CTGAGGTGGAAAGCACTGCTGGGAGGAGGACACCTTGCTTCCAAGGAGTTTATTCTTTTGCCCATCTCAAGGGTTTGATGCCCAAGAGTGGTTCCTTCAGTGCTACCAGCAACAGCAAGTCCAAATCCCTCTCTTCCATGTCCTCACCTTGGATCCAGCCTGTCTCATCCTTTACTTTCTTCCAGCCTTGGGCCGTTTTTCCAGCTGTGCTCCCTGGCGGATGCTGCCACGTCAGGGCAGGACCAGACTGCCTGGTATAACACGTTTGCTCTGGTGACCTGGCAGGCAGGGCAGCCTGTTCCTCCTCTCTGCTTGGCTTGGAGTTGGATGGCTTGGATGAGTTTATGTTGGCATGGTGGAAAGGGCAGGAGAATCGCTGGCATGTCATCCAGTGCCACGCTGGGCTGTGGCATCTCCCATCCCAGAGCCTGGAGACTGCTCTGGAAGATCCTCCTGAGTTAAATCTCACCCTGTGTGACCCAAACACTGTTTTTCTTACCTCATCCCTCCTTCCTTGCTTTTGCTTCACCCTGATTTTCCATCTCCCCATCTCCAAGGGCCTGCATTGACCTTACCAACCACATTCCATCAGTCAGGCAGAACCAGACCTCACTGGCTGGAGCAGTAACTTCCTTGGATGGACTTTCCTCATCTTGTGTACAACCTCTAGCCCATTCATATGGATGAATGGATGAGAGATTGGGTGGATGGATAGGTGAGGTGGGTGGATGGATGGATGGGGAATGGATAGGGGATGGATGGATGAGCGTGAATGGTTGGATGGAGGATGGAAGAGGGTAGAAGAATGGGTAGGAGGTGATGAGTGGATGGAAGAGGGTGGATGGATGAATGGGATATGATTGGATGGGAGATGATGGATGGATGGAGAAGGAAGAGGATGGATGGATGGGATATGTTTGGATGGGAGATGATGGATGGATGGGATATGATTGGATGGGAGATGATGGATATGTTTGGATGGGAGATGATGGATGGATGGATGGATGGATGGATGGATGGATAGAACTGCCCAGAAAGCCCTGACCATCCAGCAGGGACCATGAGAGCAGGGAGAGATCTCAGAGCTCCCTTGGGGTTTGTTTCCTTCCAGAAAAGAGCTTGTGAAGGGCCATGGCTGCAAGAGGAGCTAGTGGAGTAAGTCTCTGGGACCATCATCCATCTGTTTTCCATGTGCACGTGCTGCTGGGGAGGAAGGACTGTGTCTTGGGCCCCAATCAAGGCAAGGACTGGCACTGGCATTCCCAGCCTGTCCCCAGCCAGGCTGGGGCTGCCACAGGAGGGATTCAGTATCACAAAACTCGTGGGCTCGAGGCTTCCAGCTCTGAGTTCTGGTGTCAGAGGGTTCATCCTCCCCTGCCAGGACATGTGCATCCTAAGCACCTTCATCCCCAGTTTCCCCCAAACTTCAGCAGCAGGGATGTGTGGTGGTTCTCTGCAAGGTGCAGGGCATGGGCTCAGAGCCAGGCAGCTGTGAGGACTTCCAGTGGGATTTTGGCTGTGCAAATCCAGTGTCAGAATCTTGGTTCCACTCTTCCTGGGCTAGCCAGGCTGGTGCATCACTGACCTGCACTGAATTTCCAGCCTCTCCTGGCTGTTATCCCCCTTCCCCACCAGAGAATCATAGGATTTTAGAGTTGGAATGGAGCTTATAGATCATCCAGTCCCAACCCCTGCCCTGGGCAGGGACACCTCCCACCAGAGCAGGTTGCTCAAGGCTTTAGCCAACCTGGCTGTGAACACTGCCAGGGTTGGGGCATCCACTACTTCCTTGGGCAACCTGGAAGTAGCAAACCTCTCTGCAAGGCTCCAGGGTAATCCCCCTGGTTCCGTAGCAGGAGGAGGGACATCCAGGTGCCCTTGTGCTGTGTTTGCTGACGAGGTGTGGCTGCTGTGCCGCGATTCCAGCTGGTAGTGCAGCTCCCTCCCCTCCGCCGGATGCTTCCCGGACACAGCTCCAGGTGGGCAGGTGATGACAGCCCTGCCGATCCCATCCCACCTGGAGACCGCTCCACTCGCCCAACCAGCAGGATGAGGTGGGGTGAGTCAAGGCCTGAGCCCTCCCTCGCTCGCCGTGTTCTGGGGAGCAGCCAGAATGGGAGCGGGAGAAATCGTGCCAGGATGGGGTTGTGCGGTTCGTTCCTCCGAAAGATTTGTTGCTTTGAGGATCAAAACCAGTCAGATGAGTTGTGCTGGTGCAGCGTTGAGGTGAGGGGTGAGCAGGGCTTCCCACTGCCCAGCTGGCTGTGGGGAGCTGCAGGAAGGGAGTTGGGTGGTTTTCAGGTGGTTTGGATACTTTCCCCCTCTTGCAAATCCCTGGAAAAAGCTTTTGTGCAGGGCCCCCCCTCACCCTCCCCTTTGTTCTGCCCTTCTGAAGGGCAGAACAGGCTCCTTGCTTGCTCCTGGTTTCTTTAAACCTGGAATCCACGTTTCTGCAGGGTTTGAGGCTGGCAGTGGGATGATCTGACATCTCCCCTCCTTTTTTGGCTCCTGGCACAGCTTTTGTTTTAACAAACCATCCCTCGGGCTCATCTCCCAATTCCTCAACCCAAACCTTATCCCTTGGAGCAGCACTGGCTGCATTTTGGGAACTGGTGACATGAACCCCCTGACCATGATGATCATCAAAACTAGGGAATGGCTTGAATTAATTGCTTTTATCACCTGCAGACAGGATTTGGGGTTGGACAGGGAGCGGCAGGAATCCAGCCAGGGTGGCTTTTCCAGCAGGGGAAACAGGCTCCCACCTGGCACATAAATTGTTAAGCTGGACTCAGAGCCCTCCTGGAAACCTAAACCCAGCCCAGCCAGGAAATCTGCGTGTTCCAAGAGTGGGAACAACCTCCTGGGTTGGTGTTTGTGCCACGTGTTATCTCCCCACTGCTACTTTAAGGTCCTGGAGTTGGGAAGGCAACGATTTGTAATCCGACGTGGATTTAGGAGATAAACAGGTTCAGCTTCACAGCAGAGAGAGTGATGATTGAAATCCCACCTGGGATGATCATGGTGATGATTCCAGTGATCCCTGTCTCCCAGGCTGGGCATGGGGGTGCAGCAGAGACCAGGAGGAGTTGGAAGCTCCAAGCATCATTAAAACTGGGAAATGCCGATGCTTTGGCCACGTCCCCCACGCAGGAGGAAACACAAGGAGCAAACAAGCATGAAAAGCAGTTGGGAGAGCTCTCCATGCGCTCAGCCTGGCTCTGCACCAGCCCTGCTCCCTTCCCCTGCCCACTAAGCTGCTGGGATTGTGCCAGGCTCTCTGCCCGGGCTCTTTTGGCGTCGTTCGCGTGACCGTCACGTGCCGTGGAGGGTGACGGGGCAGCATCCCCCTGCACCGGGGTGGATGGCACAGGAGGCACCACATCCAGCCACCTTCTGCAGCTGGGAGTCCAGCACCACGGCACGGCCTAAATAACCTCTTGGATCTCCTCTCCTTACTGTTTTTCCCTGTGTTTTGGGTTGCAGACAGCAGCAGGCTGCTGGGCAGCCAGCGGCCAGGCTACGGGACACTGCAGCCGGGAGCCGCTCCATCCCGCATGGTAGGTCTAGGGGATTCTTCACGGGGAGGGAGGCTTGGGGTGGCACAAAATCCCTGTGTTTTCCACCAACACCAGCACCAGATGGTGGTTTTCCAGCCCTTGGTTGTCGTCTGCCTGGTGTGAAATCTTGCTGGGAAGTTCAAGGCTTTAGCAGGTTGCCCAGGGAGGTTGTGGATGCTCCAATGCTGGCAGTGTTCACAGCCAGGTTGGATCAAGCCTTGAGCAACCTGCTCTGGTGGGAGGTGTCCCTGCCCAGGGCAGGGGGTTGCGGCTGGATCATCTCTAAGCTCCATCCCAGCCCCTTAACATTGTATGATTTCTGCAGCTATGCTAAGCTCTGCATGGTTTTCTAAGGAAGAGCTCACTCAGGAGACAACGTGATGCTGAGTTTGCTTAGGGTAATTGAGTTGAATATTGCTGGATATATTGCAAGATGTGTCCAACAGTGGCTTATCATTAATGCACCCAGAGAGCTTTGAGGAAGCTAAATGTTTACAAGTAAATGTAAATATGCTGGTGAAGGTTCCAGTAAGACACTGGCACAGGTTGCCCAGGGAGGCTGTGGCTGCCCCAACCCTGGCAGTGTTCACAGCCAGGTTGGCTAAAGCCTTGAGCAACCTGCTCTGGTGGGAGGTGTCCCTGCCCAGGGCAGGGGGTTGGGGCTGGATCATCTCTAAGGTCCATTCCAACCCATGAACGATCGATGAATCTGCGAATCAATTTAGGCTTGAATGTTTGACAGTTTTAATTCCAGTTGGTTTTTATGGCTGAGCATCCTGGTGACCTCTTTTCTTGCAGGAGGTGACAGGCTACCAGACCACGACGTGGCGGGTGGCCCTGTGCCACGCGGGCTCCGTGCTGACAGCAGGGCTGCTCCTCGTCCTCTTCCACTGGAAGCCAAGCCTGGAGGTGCAGGCCAAGTGCAAACCCTGTGCCCTTGGCCAGGCTGACTGGGTTATCATCAGAGTGAGTGCCCAAGGGAGCTGGGGAAGATGTGGGGCTGGGGTTGAACTTCCCACTGATGGCTTGAGTATGTTCCCTGCTGCTCACCACCCTCTCAATGTCTGCCATCTCCTTTCATCAGGGACGTGCTGCCCCAGCGCTAAATTATTCCAGGATTCTTTTAATTAATTATTCCTGGAATAATTATTATTGTCTTATTCCATTAATGGTTCTTAACCTAAACTCCTTTTGTGCTTTTCCCTTCTGTACCAGCCAAGCTGGCTTAGAATTTCTCTTTGTTGTCCCAAAAAGGACCCAGGGACAAGAGATGTGAGATTCAGATTAGATATTAGGAGAAATATTTTCCCTGTTAGGATGTTCAGGCACTGGAATATTGTCAGGGGAGGTGGTGCAGTCACCATCCCTGGAGGTTCTTTAAGAGGCATCTGGATGTGGTGCTGAAGGATCTGGTTTAGGAGTTGCATTAGTGATAGATTAATGGTTGGACTTGATGATCTTAGAGGTCTTCTCCAACCTTGATGGTTCTATGATTCTGTGATTCTATGACCCAGCCATCATCCAGGGCAGGGGGCCAGGGACTCCCTGCCTGCCTGTGACACTGTCCCTGTGTGAGGGACCCACGGGGAGCCCCAGTTTCCCTCTCCCCAGCCCTGTGCCTCTGTTTCAGGACCGATTTGGACAGTGCTTTACCACCAAGGTGCACACAGAGGCATTGGGCGAGGGCAGGTAAGTTGGGCTCGTGTCCCTGCAGAGATCTGGGGGGTCCCATCTCCTTTTGGCTTTGAGGGAGGTGTTCACAGTGGTGCTGGTGAATGATGAGGGCATGACCCTTGGTTTCCCACCTTGTACAGCTTGGAGCATCACCCTGGGGTCAGGCTGGAAGACCGGAGGACCAGCATTGCCATCGGCGTGTCGGATGAGGAGGAGAGCCGCGACACCATCCGGCTCCATGAGAAGGAAGAGGTGATGCTCATGACCCTTCCCACCTCCATAAACCATCTCCCATGCCGTGGCCCACCCTTGTATCCCACTAACACCTAATTTTTTTCTGTCCTTCACCACTCAGAAGAACATCCTGAGGTATTACCTGTTCGAGGGGATGCGCTACGTCTGGCTGGAGCGGCGGCAGGCGTACTGCAAAGTCAGGTATTTCCCTGTCCCTCCCCCTCTCTGCCCCTCTGCTTGCCCCCTCAAAACCCTCCTGAAAACCACACCACCACGCTGGAGCTTTCCTCTGCTCTGCCAAGCCTGTGGAGCCCATCCCCATGGCGTTGGGTCGGGGGAGCTGTGCTGTCTCCCCTCAGGTTGTTGATGTCTCTGTGGCCAGAGAGAACCGGACGGAGCAGTTTGGCAGTGGCCCCGTGCTGGATGCTCATGGCACTCCAAACTGTGCCCCTTTTGTTGCCTTTCCTTGGCACCCACAAGCTGTGGCAGAGGCCAAGGAACAAGACACTCTCCCTTTCCCAAAGAGATGTTTTTTTGTCCCCAAAGACTTGGACGTGGTGTTTGTTCCGCTGCTGCTGATTTTGGCTCTGGTTCTCTGTTTTTCTTTCTCCTGGCGCTTGCCAGTGTCTTGGATGAAGGTTGGACCTGCGCAGATCTCCACCTCTCTCAGGCTGGGCTGGACCAGCAAGACCACAACACCAGGTAGGGATCTACCAGCTTCATGGAATGTCTGGGGAGCACATGAGGATTTTCCAAGGGGGGCAGAAAATCCTGGAGCCTGGGGCTTTCTTGCATTCAGACCTCAAAACAGCCAACAGCTGGGTGGGATGGAATTCCTGGGCTCAGCTTCTTCCCATGATCAGGCTCCTGTGGAGGTCTGAACAGTGTAAGGGTCCCTCAGGTTGGAAATGCAGCTTCTCTTAAGGATAAATTTCCTTCCCTTTTCTCTTTTCTCCCTCTGCAGAAGGAAGATCTATGGCCCAAACCTCATCGAGGTGCCAGTCAAGTCCTATGCAAGGCTCTTGGTGGAGGAGGTGTGTGTCTGTAGGCTGAGCTTCCAAAGAGCAAGTTGTCCCAGGGCAGATCCTTCTCCTGCTCCATGTGCCTCACTGCAAGTGCTTTGTGGGCTCTTAGGAAGGGAGGAGAGGACTCTGGGAGAAGGCAGAGCTGATGCAGCTGTAGAGGGGACCTGTCCTGCCCCTTGTGTTGGACAGAAGCATCCCCAGGTAGTTGCAGAGGTGGCTGAGCATCCTCAGGAGCACTGTCTGTAAGGAAAGTGGGGGAGGGTGGAGGGTTTGTAGGATGTCAGCTGGTTCATCTCCAGCCCCAGGGAAGGACCAGCTTCTCCTCTGCATGAGCTCCTCAAGGAGCCTGGAGGTCTCACAATGGGATGGGGGAAGCTTTTTCTCCCTCCCAAGAACCTGGACAAAGCTCTCCTTACCCCAGGGAGCCTGGAGGTCTCATGATGGGTTGAAGGAAGTTCTCCCCACTCCCAAACCTTCTCTTTCTCCTTGTTCCAGGTGCTCAATCCCTTCTACATCTTCCAAGTGTTCAGCATTGTGCTGTGGGTCTGTGATGCCTACTACTACTATGCAGCCTGTATCTTCCTCATCTCCACCATCTCCTTGGGACTGTCCCTCTACGAGACAAGGAAGGTTGGTGGGGGCTTATTGGGGATGAACATTTATATGAAACAGCCCATTTTCTGATGCTCTTTGACCTCTGTGCTGGTGTTGAACAACCTCTGAGCCCAGCTGGGTGAGGACAACCCATAATCCAATGATGTGGCAGCCTTCCTTTCCTTCTTCCCTGGTCCCAAGGCTTGGAGATGTGTTTTAGTGATACTTTGCTGTGCTTTTTGAGTGCCCTTGGGTCGCTTTTAACTGCTCCCTCCCTTCCAGCAAAGCACCACACTGCAAAACATGGCCAAGATGTCAGTGGGTGTCAGAGTCCATCGCCCCAGTGGAGGTGAGAGCAATGAAGCTCCAAAGAGCTGGAGTTCCAAAGAGCTTCAGCTGTTTGGGATGGTGTTGGGATGATGTGTCTGAGCACAGCCATGCTTTTTTCCAGAGGAGATGGTGGTGAGCTCTGCAGAGCTGGTGCCAGGTGACTGCATCAGCCTCCCCACGGACGGGATGCTGGTCCCTTGCGACGCGGCGCTGCTGACGGGCGAGTGCATGGTCAATGAGAGCATGCTGACAGGTGAGAGCTCCACTCCCACAGCATTCCCTGGGGGTTTTGGAGGAGAGGATGAGCCTTGTCTCTCAGTGACCCTATGGCAGCCCCTTCCCATCCAGGCTGGTTGGATCCTGACTCCCCTGGGGTGGTAAAGCTCCCTCCATGGTGTTCCTCACCGCAGGGGAGAGTGTGCCAGTGATGAAGACTCCTCTCCCAGCTGGTGGCCAAGCAGCCAGCACTGTCTATTCTCCCGAGGAGCACCGAAGGCACACCTTGTTCTGTGGGACACAGGTCATCCAAGCCAAGTCCTACGTAGGTGGAGAAGTGCTGGCTGTGGTGACCCGCACAGGTGATGGATTGAGGGGAAAGTGGGATTAATCCTTACCCTCTGGAGTGGTGACTTGGCAAATGGTGACCTCCTTCCCCTCTCCCACAGGGTTTTGCACAGCCAAAGGGGATCTCATCAGCTCTATCCTCTACCCTAAGCCTGTGAGTTTCAAGTTCTACAAGGATGCTGTGAAGTTTGTCATGTTCCTTGCCATCCTGGGTAGGTCTGAGTATGGATACACAGCTGGGAGCCCCCAGACTCCTCTGGAAGGGTTGAACCCACCCTCCATCTCCTTTGCTTTGTAACTGAACTCTTTCTCCCTCTGGCACAGCTTTCATCGGCACCATCTACAGCATCCTCATCTTGGTTAAAAACCAGGTAGGGTTGTTGGAGCTGGAGAATCCTCAAGGATGGCACTGGGACCATCATAGTGGAGATGGGTGAGGGTATCAGGGTGCTCATCCCTCTTCCTCCTCACCTTCCAGGTCCCTGTGGAACAAATCATCATCCGTGCCCTCGACCTCATCACCGTCATCGTGCCACCAGCTCTCCCAGCTGCCATGACTGTGGGCACCATCTATGCCCAGAACAGGCTGAAAAAACAGGGAATCTTCTGTATCAGCCCTCCCCGCATCAACCTCTGCGGGAAGATCCGCCTGGTTTGCTTCGACAAGGTGAGTCAGTGCCATGGGATCATGATTCCCATCTCCAGGGATTCTCCTGGACCAACCACGCTCTCCCTGCAGACAGGAACGCTGACAGAGGAAGGTTTGGATGTCTGGGGAGTGGTTCCACTGGAGAACAATCACTTCATGCCCATTGTCCATGAGCCTCGTTGTCTGCCTGCGGGGCCCTTGCTCTACTCCCTGGCCACCTGCCACACCGTCTCGCTGCTGCGGGGACAGCTCATCGGGGACCCTGTGGACCTCAAGATGATGGAGTCCACTGGATGGGTAAGATAAGTGGTGGCCAGAGTTGTGTGTCTAAAGAGGGAAGTGACAAAAATCTTTGTCTCCTAGGATAAGGAGGGTTTAAAACTCTCCATGGGGTGGATGGGGCTTGGGGCTTTGCCATCTGGAACAAGTTGCCCAGAGAGGTTGTGGCTGCTCCAATCCTGGCAGTGCTCAAAGCCAGGTTGGATCAAGCCTTGAGTACCCTGCTCTGGTGGAAGGTGTCCCTGCCCAGGGCAGGGGGTTGGTGCTGGATGATCTCTAAGCTCCATTTGAACCACATAACGTCCTATGAAACTATGAATACTTGGATGGAAACACAGCAGTGTGTGAGGAATCTAAGCGCTTTGCTGCCCTGCCTGAGCTTTTTCTGAATCTATGAATCTCAGCATCTGCCTTGGTTTCAGCGGCTGGAGATGATGGAGGAGGAGGAAGGTGGGCTGCCTGCCTTCCAGCAGTTTGGGATGAAGGTCTTGGCTGTGATGAAACCTCCACCTGAAGAAGAACAACCACGAGACAGGGTAATCCCATGGATCAGAGCAGTTCAGTTTCCCTGGGTCTGCATCCCCAAGGGTTGATGTTCATCACAGCCCCTGGAGAAGTTGTACCTCCTGGAGAAATCCCTGCCTGGCCTTGACACCTTCTCCCTTCCCTTCACAGAAGCACCAGTCACCCTTGGGGATCCTCCGGCGTTTCCCCTTCTCCTCCTCCTTCCAGAGGATGAGTGTCCTGGTGAAGCTGCCTGGAGAAGCCTTCACCCATGTCTACGTCAAAGGTGCCCCAGAGATGGTGGCCAGCCTTTGCAGGAAGGACACTGGTATGTACTGGGAGAGTGGAGGTTCACTCCTGGTCCTGCTGCTCCATGATCTGTCTGTCCCTGCAGCTCACTTCCCCAGAGACTTACCCTCAGGGATGTTGCATGGCACTTTCTAGAGGCACAGGAGCCACAAGACAGGGATTGGGCTTGGAAGCTGGATGAGCATCCAGAACTCTTCTGCCCTTTGGGAGATTGAGCCCCATCTCCCCTCGCTGGGGCTGCACAGCCAGGGTTCCTTCAGGAGCTGTTCTGGCCTCGCTTTTCCAGTGCCCATGGATTTCTCCCAGATGCTGCGGCACTACACCACGGATGGTTTCCGAGTCTTGGGTCTGGCTTGCAAACCCCTGAGCATGGTGACCACCTTTGAGGAGGCCCTGCAGCTTCCCAGGTTGGTGCCAGCCACTTTTCCTCTCCATTTACACCTTGTTTATTCCCAGCATTTCCTGGGTTGTCTCACTACCCTGCAGCCTGCAAGGTCTTAAACCCTAATCCATGCTAAAGGAATTCCTGGCTACCTCCCAGATGGATTTTTAGCTGTTTATACTCATTGATCCTCTCTGCCGGGTGTTGAAGGTGCTGTTGAAGGGCTTGTTGTATCCCACCAGGGACTCTGTGGAGAGCAGCTTGACCTTCCTGGGGTTCCTGGTCATGAAAAACGTCCTCAAACCAGAGTCTGCTCCCGTGATTCACCTCCTGAGGAACGCCAACATCCGCCCTGTCATGGTGACAGGTGACCCTCCGAGGGAAACGGGGACACCGGGCTTGGGAAGAGATGGGACGTGGACAATCCTTGATGTTGTGGAAGGAATGAAGTGTTTCCACACCAGAAATCCCTAGCCTGAAGCAACTGTGGGGCATGGCAAGGACTCCTGGTCCATGGTTTTGTGCATCCCTGTTCTTGGGATGCACAAATTGCTGGTGGGTTCAGGAGGTGGAAGGGTTTTTTGTGGAAAAACTCATGGATTTGCTGTCCCTCACCTAAATGTTGTGAGCACCCCTAAATTCCATGGCTAATTGGCAGGTGTAGGAGTCACCTCTAGGTGTTTTGCAGCCAAACAAGCAGAGTTTGAATCTGCTTTGCTTCAGAGTAGAGTAGACATGAGGTTTTGGGGTTGTCTCCCAAAACACTAGGAAACAAAGGGACCTGCAGTGTGGCTGCAGTCACCAGGAGAGGAGACACGACAGGTTTGAGCTGCTCCTTTCGGCTCACAGCCCTCCAAAACCTCATTCCTCATCTTCCCTCTTCTCTTCCTGGCAGGAGACAACATGCTGACAGCCATGAACGTGGCCAGGAGCTGCCGCATGGTGGAGCCGAAGGAGCGAGTGATCTTCGTCACCGCCTCCCCACCCGGCCACGACAAACCTGCTGCTCTCAAATTCGTCCTGGCTGAGCACTCCCAGGGCGAGGAGCAGCCCGAGGTGAGTCCCCAGGACACATTTTTGGGGGGTTCATAAAGCCCAAACTGCCCAGTCACAGTGCAGGACTCATTTTGTCATAGAATCCCTGAATGATTTCGGGTTGCAAGGACCTTAAAGCTCATCCTGTTCCACCCCCTGCCATGGGCAGGGACACCTTCCACCAGCCCAGGTTGCTCCAAGCCCATCCAGCCTGGCCTGGAACACTCCCAGGGATGGGAAGTGGTTTTCTAGCATCATTATCCTTAGAGGCAATTATGGGTGTGATTCTGCCCCTTAAAAATGCCTCTTTTAGGAGAAGTTAATGTGCTTCTGCCCCTGCCTGGGAGCACATCAGGTTGGAGCTGATGCTCCAAACACCCTCCTCATGGATGCTGCCAGATCCCACTCCAGGTACAGCCAAACAAGCTTTTTTTAATCCAAAATACCATCATTTATATGCCTGAAAAGATAACCTACTCCCATTTCTCCCTGGGAGCATGTTAGCCTGGAGTAGGTGCTCCAAAAACCCTCATCAGATGCTGCTCAGGTCCTGCTCCACACTTAGCATGAGGGGCTCAACCAAACAAGCTTTTTATCCCAAATATCCCCAGCATGAGACTGAGGTTTTAGGGAAGCAGCTTTCCCTCCTGATCCATGTGGGTTGTGGGTGCTGGGTCAGCCTGTTGCCCAAGGGGCTCTGTAGGGATTTGAAGCCCTGCTGTAGAACAAGGAGCTGTGTCCATTGGCAGGGCCTGCAGCAGAGGGACAGCTGCTTCCTCCCACCCCAGCCCTGCCACTTTGCCCTCAATGGAAAATCCTTCCAAGTGGTTTGTGAGCACTTTGCTGACCTCCTGCCCAAGGTGAGTCTGACATCAGGGAACCCTCTGGTGTGGTTGGAGAGCCCTCTGGTGAGGTTGGGGGTTCTTTGATAAGGTTGGAGAGTCCTTCAGCAAGGCTGGGGAATGCTCCTGTGAGGTTTGGATCTGCTCCAGTGAGGGTGAGGAACCCTTTGACAGGAGTAGAACCCTCCAGTGAGGTTGGAGACCCTTTTGGTGGGGTTGGGGACCCTGTGGCAAGGTTGGGGAACCCTATGGTGAGGTTGGGGATCTTCCAGTGAGATTTGGGAAACCCCTGTAGAGGTAGGGGAATCCCTTGGTAAGGTTGGGGGATCCTTCAGCTAAGATAGAGAACCCACTGCGTGGTTGGGGAGTCATCCATCAAGGTTGGGAATCCATTGGTGGAGTTGGAAGTCCTCTAGCAAGGCTGGAGAACCATCTGGTGAGGTAGGGGGACCCTCCACTGGGGTTGGGGGACCCTCCAGTGGAGTTGAGGAGTTCTCTGGTGAGGCTGGGGAATCCTCCAGTGGGGTTGGGAATCCTCCCACAAGGTTGGAGAGTCCTCTGGTGGGGTTGGGGAACCCTCTATCGAGGTTGTCCGTTTGAGGTTTCACACTGTGGCATTGCAGCTCCTAAATAAAGTTCCTGAGGGTGATTTTTGGCTGGTGCAAGATGCTCTCTGCCCTCTGAGCTTGTCCTGGATGCACAGGGATTTGGGGTGTTGTGGGATGGACATGGAGCATTCCCTCCTTTGCAGATCCTCGTCCGAGCCACCGTGTTCGCCCGCATGTTGCCTGACCAGAAGACTCAGCTGGTGTGCAGCCTGCAGGAGCTCAAGTAAGGCCCAGAGGAGGGCAGGAGGGGTTAGTCATGGACTTACAGAATCCCAAAATGGTTTGGGTTGGAGGCACCTTAAAGCTGATCCCATTCCACCCCCTACCCAGGGGCAGGGACACCTTCCACTGGACACCAACGTCCAACCTGACCTTGAACATTTCCAGGATGGGGCAGCCACATCTATTCTGGGCAACCTGTGCCTGTGCAGGCCCAAAGCTTTCCCCCATCCTGACATGGAATATGGGATCTCTCCTCCACAGCTACTGCGTGGGGATGTGTGGGGACGGGGCCAACGACTGTGGGGCGCTCAGGGCGGCCGACGTGGGCATCTCGCTGTCCGAGGCCGAGGCGTCGGTGGCTTCGCCGTTCACCTCCCGCGTGGCCAACATTGAGTGCGTGCCCAGGGTCATCCGGTGAGCTGCTGTGGGGCTAACAATCAGGGAAGGGCTTCCATGAGTGCCTCTGTCCCCTCTTTGGGATAACTCATGGAGAAGGTTGTGGCTGGTTGGTGAATCTGTCTTTGTCTCTGCAGGGAGGGCAGGTGCTCACTGGTCACCTCCTTTGGTGTCTTCAAGTACATGGCTCTGTACAGCTTGGTGCAGTTTGTGTCTGTCCTTCTGCTCTATACAGTGAGTCCCACACCCAAAT